TCAAATGTAGCCCTGGGCATTTCATTGTGATTTTTCAAATGTATCCCACATGTCAGGGTCCATGCAATGGGCTTCCCTGGAGGGTGGTCACATGACCAATTACCAAAAATGGTCAAAAACGAAAGTTGTAGCCCTACACTGTAGCTTCCCGAATCTGTTTGAATTATGTTCTGAAGTGCTCCTGTTGTGGAGATATGAGGTAAAGGAATTTCAAAAGCGTTGCGTTTTTTTTTTTTTTTGTGTTTTTCTCTATGAAAACAAAACCAAATAACATGATTTCAGTATATTCAGAAAGCTAAAAGAAAGGGCTACAATTATTGTATCGTGGGAAAAATGACCAAAAAAGGAAGGTGCATCCTGTACTACTTATAAGAATCAGATATAGACTACCAAGTTTACTGATAGACTACAAAAAAGTCGGACTTAGACTACACAGTTTACTGATACACTATAAAAGACTACAAAAGTCGAAATTAGACTACAAAGTTTACTAATACACTACAAAAGACTACAAAAGTCGAACTTAGACTACAAAAGCGTGGACTTAGACTACATAGTTAGGGTTAGAGTCAAAAGGTTATCTTGACTACAAAGTTTGTAGTGTGCCCTTTTTCATTAAAAAAGTTTGTAGTGACCGCTTTTTGAGACTACAAAAGTTGTAGTGTTGCGCTTTTTCATTGGAAAAGTTTGTAGTGTCCGCTTTTTAAGACTACAAAAGTTTATAGTGTCTGCTTTTTGAGACAACAAAAGTTTGTAGTGTTGGGCTTTTTCATTAGAAAAGTTTGTAGTGTCCGCTTTTTGAGACTACAAAAGTTTGTAGTGTGCACTTTTTTATTAGAAGAGTTTGTAGTGTCTGCTTTTTCATTTAAAAAAGTTTGTAGTTGACATGTAGTTTATGGTGTCCTTGGCCCTATCTATGTTATGGGGATGAGGTTGATTGCCATCATATTGCCAGTGCCAGCATTAGTATTTGACATCATGCACAAGTTGTCTTTCATATTGATACCTACTGTCCTATCTCAAGACATAATTGTAAGCTCATATGGGGATATGGCTGAAGGATTGACATGACTTTACATATTGCTATTGCCACATCATCAGTTCCTCACATCATGCCCAAGTTGGCTTTTAAGCTAGAGAAGGCTATTCATGTTGATATCTACTCAATACATGGTCAACTTACAACATGACCTGTCTTCAAGACACCTCAAAGGATGAATTAGCCCATCATCCTACAGCCCTCAAAGACCTGTATCAAACTTGATTATGTTTGGGACAGGTCAGTAT